AGAAAGCTCAGCAAGTAATGATTGCTTCTGAGAACAAGCATCGATGACAGTCCTCATTTCAGGTAGGGGAACGTGTCTGGGTTAAGGCTAGTGAGCTAGGACAAAAATTCGGGATCTCTCGTAAACTAATGCCTCAGTATTTTGGTCCCTGGGAAGTCCTGGATATAGTGGGGGATGAGATGGATGGTCCTACCTATGTTATCCGTATCCGTGGACACCTACGCACTCACCCTGTCTTTCATGCCTCAAAGCTTGCACCTTTCGCTGAGACAGATCAATTCCCTTCAAGGAGATCGATGCTGCCCCCAACCATGGATGGTCAAGTGGACATCGACGACATTGTGGATCACAGAGATCTACCTGTTCAGAAACCATTGGGTAGAGGAAGACCTCCAAAACCCAAGCGGGAGTATCGCGTCAGATTCAGGCATCATACAAATCCAAAGGAAGATCGATGTTGATAGCTAGAGCATAGCGACGAAGTCACATAGCTCGAATGCTTGGATAAGAAGTGATGGAGGGGAGAGAGAGAGAGAGAGAGAGAGAGAGAGAGAGAGAGAGAGAGAGAGAGAGAGAGAGAGAGATCAAATAGCATAAGGGTGACACCTTCTCACTTGTCTAGCACGAGTATTCTCATTCTCACGCCTGACTTTGGCAATAGCATAACGGAGGGTACCGAAAGAAACTTCTGCGAAAATTCTTAGTACGCGCAGACAAAAAATTATGCAATCCAGAAGCCATAGCAAGAATTGAATCCACTCCATATTTGGAAACAGGTGCGCCTGGGGTGTGAGTATGCAGCAAGAAGAGCAAGTTGAAGAGGAGGGAGGGTTAGATGAGAGAGGGGAGGAGAGAGGGGAGAGGAGAGAGGGGAGAGAAAAGGGGAGAGGGGAGAGAAGAGAGGGGGAGATGGGGGAAACACAACAGCAGGTACTCAAGCCCAAGCGCTTTCTTCAAAGTAGATAAAACATGAAGCTCAAATGAGAACTCCCATTAGATGGTACAGCCTGGGCAGCGCTGACGCGTTGTCATCAGCGGATGTACCCCAGTGAGAGCCTGAGTTGGCAATGCCCGACATGTTTCGACTGCTGCCGACGCACAGTCATCATCAGGGGCAAAAACGCTGAGTCTCGAGCTACTGACTGTTGTGATAGGAGGAGAAGAATAAATAGTGAGTGCACGAGGAGATGAGAGTAGGTAGGCAGGATACTTAGCTTAGGTGCGCAGAGAACTCGTATCATGCCCATGACGAATGTGTTGCGTAGCGATAAAGGCACATAACCCAGCGAGGGGGCCAACAGACGCAGCACCGACGAGCGAGGTAACACAACGGTCGTAGAGAACAGCGAGTCCATCGTCGCTGCAGGCGGAGAACAAGTGAGGTCGATAGTATAGTGAGCGAGATATAAGTAAAGGACTCGCAGCAGCGCTGAGTATCGTAACGTCCACAGGAATCCGCAAGTCTGTCGCCGAGGATTGGCGTACCAAGTGAGAGGCAGAGGGAATGTCAAGCGAAGTATAAGTAGGAACGAAGAAATCGAAAGGCGGGCGGGGAAAAGCAGGGTGGGCAACGAGGGGCCGGAATTGGAGAGGGCGTGTCAGTCCTCTTGAGAGGTCCCTAAGGCTTCGGTGAGACCGAACTTGGTGGTATTCCTGGCTCTATTCGGAAACTCGGACAAATAGTTTTGGGAAATTTGAAGGTCCTACTATCCGAAAGCCCTTTGGCTTTTTTCTTCTTGTAAAACGGCCTCGATGCTTGAAAAATACCCAGGTCGTCGACCCTTAATTTTTTTACTTCAGAAGCCCAACGTTTTTTGAAAAAGCGGGCCAACTGCCTGTTCCCATGTATCTTAACAGAAGAGCTTGTCCCAACCGACGAGGCAGTGGGCCCATTCCTTCCAACAGTCCGAGAACTTTGTGGAGAAACAGCATAACGTGTTATCGAAAAACCGATCCGGATAGCCACGATGCCTGAGCTCTTGTTTGAAAGTGATGAGAAACCTAATTTCCGACACAGGTAAGGTCGAGAAGTGCTTTGCCCAATGCATAAAAGAAGAAATCACCGCAATCTTCTGTTGTTTACTTGAGTAGGACTGGAAATCTTGCACAGCCTGAAATGTGATAGTACCGGAAGAAGCTATGGAAGCCTGATCCCTGTGAGTGGGAATGCAGCACACCCGTAGGGGATGGGGAAGTACTTGCAGCTGACACCCCAAAAAATCCCATCTATCTTCCGTGTTGGTTTTTTCCAGGGTCAGGTTTTTATCATAACAGGCAACAAACTCCTCAAATATGGTTTTTGCTTTGTTGTGCGCATCTATGGAGTATCTGTTAAATCTTACAAAGACCGACACATCATCTACCAAGCGAACACCATGAATGAGATCTCTATCCTTCCCTAGTGACGCCAGAAAATTGTATTCATTGTACATACAGAGCATAGCTGCCAGCGAAGGGCTGGATGTTTTACCCATAGGAACTCCTACTTCTTGCTTGAGCAAGCGTCCTCTCACTAATACATAAGTGCGGGAAAGATCAAATGCAACAAAATCCTCAATTGTCGAGAAAGAGATGCGCTTCCATCCTAACATAGTTGTACTCTTTGACAATCTGGCCCCTTTGCCTTTCCGTCTAACCCATACTCCATCATAGCCCTTGCACTGAAAATACAAGGAAAACCAGGCGATAGCGTCTCGGATAGAAGAATGGGGTAGCTTGCAGAACATTTCCTTGACATCGTAACTGGCGCTGAGGAGAAGATCATTCAGGAGTACTGTCTGATTGAGGCTTTGGAGAGAGGGAACTAGGTCCTTGGTACTGAACAGATTGAAGTGGAGGGTGGATGGCAGCTGTCTGATAAGCGCATTTAGGCATGCTGTCACCTTTTTGCAGGCTGCCAGTGATGGTTATGCTGATGTCGAGCAGATAGGACGCCATCTGTTGATATCCTTATGTTTCAGAATGGCATACCCTTTACCGATCTGGCCTTTAGCATTCCAACTCCCAATTCCCTCAAATCCTTCCCTTCGATACTTGGTACGACACTCTTTTAGCACAACCTTCCCTGAGATATCTAAAGTCTTGAAGCCTGGATTGGAGAGGAACAGTCCATTGAGTCCTTCGTCGTAGATTAGAGGGCAGCAAAGTGGTGTATCCACTGGGTTATGGTCCAGAGGAACCAGCACTAATCCATCCGTCAATTGTTTGATCCGTTTCACACTGTCGAGAGTAAATGGCAAGTCAGCAAGGGGGCTAGTACGAGGGATGGGGAAGGAAGGGAGTATGGGAGACGAAGAAGAAGAAGAAGAAGAAGAAGAAGAAGAAGAAGAAGAAGGAGAAGAAGAAGAAGAGAGAGAGGAGAGACGAAGGGGCGAAGTATAGGAAGGTCTGGAAGGGAAGGTCGAGATGTTTGGTAGGGCGGAGGAGGAGAATGATGGGTGGGAGGCAGATGAGGGTTCGGAAAGGATTGGAGGGTTCTTGAAACACGACAGTATACGGGAGATAGGTATGTTGAACTTGTTGGGGGCCTGCAGGGGGCTGGGAATGGAATTGAGGGTTGAGAGGATCTGCGCACGAAGGAAGCCTTGGGAGTATGATCGTGAGGGCGGGGGTATGTTACGTGAGTTGCGGAGCCAAGCAGGGAAAAGCTGGGTATCTTTAACTCTGAGACATATGTGCCCATATTTTCTAGGAAGAAGGGTAGGGGGAGTAGATTCTGGTGAAGAGAGGTTTGACGCAGTTGAAGGAGACGTTAGAAGCTCAAATTTCCTGTCCACCGATTCACAACAACAAGTTAGCTGTTCCGCTTTGGAAAAATGCCGAAAATTATGAAGCAACTGCGAGAGACTGGGATTCTTTGTCCATACTACACGGATTCTTCTGGCCATCAGACTAGCCAGCGATACTGGAGTGCTAGATTCACGGATCAACTGCACACGCAAAGTTCTTACCCTCGACTTAAAAACCAAATCTGTGTATCTTAGTTTGAACACAAGCCTTCTTCGAGGGCAGACATTAAACCGGCGACGAATGACATTAGACAGCACAGTACGCAGGGTTTGCCTAGACGTCTTCTTAGAGATACATCTTATGGCTCCATAGGCATAAATGTGATTTTCTAGTGACCAACTGTAAAGAGACCTCCGTTCCTGGGGATGGGTAAGCAATCGTATTACTGGCTCTTTAAGACCTTCGGACTGGGAACAAAATTTCGCAATGGCAGTAATACGAAACGTATGACTTCCTTTTATCCAATCCTTGCAGTTCTTTAGCTGATCCCTCCCGAATATGCTAACAACTACTGACGCACCGAAAACTCGTTTAATTAATTTCCATGAGTCAACCAAAATCGAACCCCCTTTGTTAACAATCGATAAAGAGGAGACACGTAATCGCACACATTCATTGAGAAGTTCCAGCAAGGACACCGAGTTGATACCTACTGATGAAACATAGTAAGTGAGCCGATTCAGAGACTGTGTAGATTGGTSARGGACAGGTGCCTTTCTGAGACATTCCGTTGTTCGCAGTCTACTAGTTTTCTTGGCCCTCTCTCGTTTCCCTGGTCGATTTCTCCTATTACCTTTTTTCAAAGTGGCAGCTGGTCTCGAGTTAAGATAGGGAGAAGCCCATCTAATGATGCTTTTTTCAGCAGACAGTAATTCGACTGGATCATAAACTGCCAAGGGGATCGCGACATAGTGAAATAGTCCCACTCTTCTAAACCATCTATATAACTTATGGTTCCTAATAGACACCGAAGTGGTCACAGACGACAGATACTTTCCCCTACCCACATGTTCTTCCCATCGATTACAGAGGGTTCTCGAAGTGCTTCCTACATAGGTATGCTTAGTGAGCGGAGAAAGCAAGCACGGGACCCCGCCCTGTCTGAAAATCGTAACCATTATCCAAGAGATACATCAATTGATCTTTAAACTTACAACCCCACGGGATCTGCCCTAGGAAGATTAGCCCAATTACAATCAGCCGAAAGAGATAATTAAGATGCATATCAAGAAGGCCTTCTCTAACCTTACGCAGAGGAAGACGGAGCGTCAAGAGCTCCCATAGTAAGTCGGCGCTTGGGCCACACCCCTATTCTTGCGCCAACTGCTCCTCGTCATCTACCTCAACGGCTTGTGTGGCCTGCGCTTCCTCATGCCCATCTTCTTTCGCCTCTTCAGCTTCGGATTCGGGGGCCGATCGCCCCGCCTTGAAGGCCTCTGGACGAAAATCGAAAGCGAGCTCTGCCCTGTGCTCGGCGATGTCGTTGATGGCCTGCTCGCAGGTGGTGAAAGTGATGCCTTCTCTGCCGCACAGGATCTGGAGGCCGTTCTTCTTCAGGCGTTTGAGATGCTTTTTCGTCTCTCTGATGAAATCTGCCCGTTCTGTAGCTGCCGCCTTCATAGCCAATCTCCCTGAAGTTCTCTTGGGTGGTGAAGGCCTCAGAGTGATGTCATCAAGCGCATCATCCTGCTTGCCCAGATTCTCCGGTTCGTCATCGTCCGAGACTTCGTTGATTCGCCTGGAGAGGTTGGATCTGGGCGTTCGACCTTGCCTGACTAGCTTGCCAATAGCCCGCTCGAAACGCTCCTTCAGCATCTGCACTTCCATATCAGCCGCCCTCTTCCCTTCCTTGATTGAGTTGTAGGCTTTAAGGAGTTTCTGGAAATCTTGCGAAGTGGGAGTGCCTACTCCCATCACGCGTGGTCTGCCTCGAGCTGGAGCTTCAGGAGGGCTGGTAATGCAGACCCCAGCGCCTGATCTCTTTGTGTCGGCGGTCGTCTGCTTAATTGATCGCGTCAATTCATCCATATTTTTCTTGATCCATTCATTCTCCACCCTGAGCTGTTCAATCTGCTTACGCAGTTGCTCCTTCTCAGCCTCTTCTTCCATCCTAAGCTTTGTGTGATCCACGGGCATCTTGCGCTCCCCGCCGAATCTTGCCATATCCGCTTTGCCGAGAAATAACTCGCATGCATCATTGATCTTCGTCCCGACGATAGTACCGATCCGTTCTTCAAAATCCTGGCGCTCCTTCATCTTCCTGAGAGCCTTCTCTTCTGCCTCCTTGATCCTCTTCTTCTCTTCTTCTTCCTTGAGTAAACGCTCCCTCTCCCGAATGGCTTCTTGTCTGGCTTCCAGCTCGGAAGCCATAAACTCATATACCCGGTCTAGTTTGTCTTGGTTGAGCTTCCACAGTGGTTGACGCGGCACGATTGCCTGAGAAGTATTGGATTGCGAAGCAGGGGCTGGCGGAGGAGGTAATGCGAGGAGGGGGGCTGGTGAGGAAGTAGGAGATGAGAGAGCGGGTGAGTGCTGCAATGGTGGGAAAGACGCTCGGAAGCCATTAGAGTGCTGAGGGAGGGATGGTTGTCGATAGGGACATTCTCTTGTGAAGTGTCCTGCCATGTTACAGTTGTAACATAGCCCTCTCGTCGCCATCTTGAAACCACCGGCTTCTTACACTTCAACCTGACGCACAACAACAAATCGAAAAGACCCGAAAACGCGAACCAAGCAGAGCAGCGGGATTAGCAAGGGATACAAATGAGGAGATGTTAAGCAAGATATTGTTGTAACGGAAGAGAGGGAGAGGGAATCGTGGGTAGGTAAAGGGCAGGACAGCTGGACAGCAATAGAAAGAAAGGAAAACGAGTAATCAGGCAGAGGTGAGGGTTAAGCATGAAGTTAGTACGAAGGGCAGGAATGGCAGATATGAATGAGGGTAAGAATGAATATGAGGATGAAGATGAGAATGAAGGCGCAAACAAGTTATGACTGCGAGATCGAGTACGAGTAGGAGTACGAATGAGGGTACAGACAAGCAACCACACTAAGATCGATGGTTCGCCAGAGAGGAACTGATTGACACAGCTCCTCAAGTGGTGGCAAAGTATGAGAGAATGTTAAAAGGGAAGGCACCTGCGAAGTAAGCATCTCAGCGGACTTTCGAAGCTAAGGGGGATGGAATGTGAGGATTGAGCCCTCAAGAAGGGGCCTTGCCATGATGTACATATTCTGGGCTAAGGCCCCAGCAAGCCTCGTGCCCGCCCTAAGTGAAGGCGGGCCAGCAAATCAACAAGAGCCCTCTGTGCAAACATTCCACGAAGTGGGGTCCATACAGTTGCAGCACGCCAGTTGGTTGGAGTGCACTGAGTATCGGAGCTCTGCAAATGCAGAAATTCCCAGGGCCCCAGAGTTGGTTAGGCCCTGGGCTCATAAACGTGAGGCCGACAATGCACGCTGGAAATAGAGGCCGAAAATGCCAATGGSAAACCRGTCCACTATCTGAATCTGGCCSCAGGCCTTGATGAAAGAGGCGCAACTGCATCTCCTGGGCCCCAACCGCATCGGGCCTGGGTTCAGGTACTGGGGCCCAGGCGCAGGCTGAAGGGAGGCCGCCCACACGCAACACTGGCATATAGGCAAGCAGGGCGGGTGGGCAGGGATCTTGGCCAATGCAGGCATTGCGGGCACGCTGCTGCATTGTAGCGCTGCACTTGCGCTGCGGCTGAGGGAGACAGGCTAGCGCTAAGCGGTAGGGCGCTGCCTGTGCACAGGGCGGTGGCGGCCATAGCCGGGCTGCCTGAAGGGCACAGAGGAGGTGAAGGGGAAGGTGGTTCTTCGGAGGTGAAGGGCGCTGTGTGGGATAACAAGGGAGAGTGAGGGACAAGAGAGAGACGTACCTGGTGGAGAGGAGGTCGGCATTGGTGTTGACATCATCACTCGCTGGTCGTCAAGTTGTCTGGTTGCTTTCATTGCTGTAGTTGTAGTGATAGGCTGTAGAGTAGGTAGGGCGCCTGGCGCCATTCAAGAGAGAGAGCTACATTGGGTT